TCACAGCTCCCGTGCGAACAAATAATGATGAATCTACATTACTCCTTTTGAAACCAACATTATGAAGAACGGAACTTAGTTTTGCATACCAAGCACGAGGCGATTGCTTCAATCCATAAATCGACTTATGCAATTTACACACCAAATCAGGTTCCTGGCTTTGAGGGTGTCCTGGTGGCAATCTCATATAGACCTCTTCTTCAAGATCACCATGTAGAAAGGCGTTCTTCACGTCCATTTGGTACATGGACCAACCCTTATTGACAGCAACAGACAATAGAACCCTAACTGAGTTCATTTTTGCAACAGGAGCAAATGTTTCTTTGTAATCCACCTCAAATGTTTGAGGGAATCCTCGAGCCACCAGCCTGGCTTTATGCCTCTCAATTGAACCATCAGAATTAAACTTGATCTTATAGATCCATTTGCAGCCCAATGCCCTTTTTCCTTTTGGAAGTTTGGTGATGCTCCAGGTTTTGTGTTGGTCTAGTGCTTTGAGTTCATCTCGCATTGCTTCTTTCCACACATCTTGGTTATTAGCCTCATGAAAGTTTTGAGGCTCACTGTGACTTGAAATGGTGTTAAGAAAGGCAACATGAGATGGAGTTACCTTTTGATACGACACGCAATTGGAGATTGGATGCCTCGGTTTATATGTGACAAAATCTTGAAATCTTGTGGGAGGTTGTCTATCACGCCGAGGATTGCGTCGAGGTACTGGAGGAGTTGTCTCATCCTCGTTCAAGTTATCAGCCACACTTTGAAGATTTCCTTGATTGCCGTTGTCATCATCATGCACAGAACCATTAGGATGAGTGCCTTCATTGTTGACTTCAGTGAGAGGTGTAGGAGATGCATCGGTGCTGTCATGGTTATACACTCTGTCATTTAAAACATCTAGAATGCTGATTCTTGGTAGAGGAAACAGGTCTAAGATACACTCCCCTTGACTTGTGGCTTCATGTGATTTGCTGAAAAAAGGGTTAGCTTCATGGAATCGAACATCTTTGGATACAATTATTTTTCTCAGTTGAGGATCATAGCACTTATATCCTTTTTGTGTTGATGAATAACCAAGAAAAACACATTTGAGAGCTCTAGGATCCAATTTAGATGCTCGATGGTGTGACTGAATAGGAACAAAACAGACACAACCAAAGACTATAAGATGTGAAAGGTCGATTTTTCTTCCTTTCATAACTTCAAGGGGAGATTTAAACTCCAAGACTCGGCTAGGAAGTCTATTGATGATGTACACAGCCGCCATGACTCCTTGGGACCAAAATTTCTTTGGTACATTCATTTGTAACATTAATGCTCTCGTTTTTTCCACTCTATCACGATTTTTTCTTTCGGCTACACCATTTTGTTGAGGTGTGCCAACACAACTTGTTTGATGCATGATACCATGCTTGCTCAAATATTGTGACATGCTATGGGACATATATTCAGTGCCATTGTTAGATCTTAAGGTTTGAATTTGAGAGGAAAAATGGTTCTTAACAAGGTTGTGAAAATCCTTAAAAACTTCTATCACTTCACTCTTAGACTTTAAAAGGTACAACCATGTGGCTCTAGAGAAATCATCAACAAAGATTACATAATACTTATAACCATCAAAAGATTCAAACGTTGGTCCTCATACATCTGAGTGAACTAGTTCGAAAACTTTACTAGTCCTAGATAAGGATGAGTGAAAAGGCAATCTAGTGGCTTTAGACAAATGACATGTTTCACATTGAATTAAATCATTTCCTAAGTTTGGAAACAAAGATGACAAAACAGGTTGGGAATGATGAGCTAAACGTTGATGCCACAATTGACTATCCTGGGATGGATTGGACTTGGCTTGAAATCCTCTGGGACTGCTCTTTGATATGTAATAGAGACCATCTAGGTAAAACCCTTCACCAATCGTCTTCTTGGTGAGACAATCCTGAAAAATGACATTGTGAGAAGAGAAGATGGCAAAACAATTTAAGGTGTTGGTGATTTTTCCCACAGATAGAAGTTGAAATGGAAAAGAAGGAACATATAAGGCTACTGACTCAATTTTGTCCGACATTAAGTTGATATTTCCCTTGCCTAAAACCTTAGAACTCTCACCATTTGCAGTTGAGACTTGAGAAGGTTGTGAATTTTTTTCAAACTTGTGAAACTTAGAAACATGATTGGTTATATGATTTGTGGCACCCGAATCAACAATCCAAAAATCATGCATCATATTTATATTAAGAGCAGTTTTGAAAGCAGTCATGATACCTAGCATGTCATCTCGGGGCATGTGTTGTGTGTCTGTTAAGAAACCATTGAACTTGCCTAGCAAAGCTGTTGAGTTTCCATCTTCAAAACCAATCGTGTGATCACTCTTAATCCCTTCTTTTTTGCTTTGAAGATATGCTGCAAAATCATTTATGAGTGCAGCCGGATTTGCTGTGAAGCTCTTGAGTGCATCAGACCCATGTGAGGTTGATGCAGATGCTTTGTAGGCTTTGTGTGGTGCACGATTTTTTCTTTGTGAGCCCTTGTTATCCTTCATGAAATCCGACTTTAATTCTGGATGTAAGATCCAGCATGTCTCCTTAACGTGACCAGTATAGTTGCAGTGTTGGCACTTCAAGTGTGGATTCTTCACTTTGTATTTTCTTTCGTTGGTTAGGTAAGCCCTTGCTTCAGTTACACTGGTCTTTGTGCCAATGTTCATGACTTTCCTTCTTACTTCTTCACGTTGGATTGTTGCACATACACTGGTGAAGGAAGGTAGTTCGGGGTTCATGAGTATGTGGCTTCGCAGGTCTTCGTATCCAGAATCGAGACTTGACAAAAGTTGGAATATCTTGTCTTCTTCTGCGCTTTTCAGAAGTACGGACGCTTCAGTTGTATGAGACCGATACATTTCCAACTCATTCCACATGTTTTTCATGCTGCCTAGAAGTTGAACAAAGGGCTTTCCTTCTTGTTGTAGGTTGGAAATGTCCTTCTTCAATTGAAACACACGTGCAACATTGTTCTGACTGCCATACATCTCCTTGACTGTTTCCCATAGCTTGAATGATGATTCAGAATAACTGAATATTTCAGCTATTTTACGTTCCATGGAATTTAGGAGTCATGACATAACTAGCTGATCTTTGCAAAGCCAGGATTCGTATGTTGGTGAGGACGCATCAGGAGCTTCGATGCTTCCATTTATGAACCCTAGCTTGGACCTTCCACCTAGGGCAAGACTCACTGCTCTCGACCAAGGCAAGTAATTAAACTCATTTAACAATACCGAGCTTAATCTTTGATTTGGATTGACATCCACCTCAGACAAGGTTGATGAGGAAAATATCTGGGAATTTTCAGCTTCAAAAGAAGAAGAATTTTCTTCCGCCATATCGGAGATGGTAGGAATGCAGCAGCAGGTTATTTTTCCTGCTCTGATACCATATTGATTTTAATGTATATTTCATAAAATGAATCAGCTACAAGGTCCAACATATATATGATAAGAAAACGGGAAGGAGAGTGAAGCTGGAAAGGTGGAGAATAATGGCAGCAATGGCAGCATCATTGTGACCTCCTGGCAGCTAAGCAAGCATCATTGTGTCCTCCACTCTCTCTAACTTAAACTACTAATTAGCTTTACAAAGCTGATGGAATAACAACCAGCTAAACACTAGCACTAAGTTGAGCTGTTATCCATCAAAAAACTTAAACAAATGGTTGCATTATTCTTCCAACATTGAACCCTACGAACCCTACTTGCATTATTCCTCCAACATTGAACCCTACTTCCAATAATGTTGGAAAGGTTCTTATGTGTACATCCGCTACACTACGCAGTATGCCAATGTGGTGTATGACATTTACACATTATAACCCTAAATCTGACATATCTAGTTAGTTTTGAATTAATATGTATCCTAGCCCTAAACCCTAAATGTTATATATGTGATATATTTGTCATCTTTTAACTCTCCAAACTCCAAGTAAGAGATCCCAAAGATAACGCACACATTAATGAACACAATAACATTATATTAATTGATATCAAAATTCACGTAGGGACGATGAGGTATACATATGCAACCATCCTATTCAATTAATACTAGATCATACTTTGTAGGTAGTGAAAAGCTTAACACATCCGCTCAGGCACGTGGACCGTTCCTTGGCCCTTTTTGTTATCAGTTGTTGTCGTACCAGAACTGTTTTGAAGATATGAAACCAGTTTGTCATCGACTTGGAAGGCCTTGGCTAGAACATCAGGATTGATGGGAGGGTTGGCGCCAAACACTGCATTTGCTATGGTGATGACTCCTGGGTTCTGGCTGCTAAGACCAGCAATGGCGACAGCACTGGTATGTCCCAATTCAGTTGGAAGTGAATAAGACCAACTGGGAACACAAACACATCTCCCTTGTTCAACACCTTGGTGAATAGACGATTATCTAGGTTGGACGTTACGAACCCAACGTAGAGTGTACCTTCCTGGAGAAAAAGGATTTCCGTGCCGCGAGGGTGAGTGTAGGGAGGGTTTAGGCCATTTGGTGCAAAGTCTATGCGAGCTAGGGATATGCCGAGAATGTTTAGTCCTGTTATTTGATCCACATTAGCAGGTGTTACCGTTGAACCCAACGGATTTTGTGTGCTTCTTGGAATTTGAATCCCAGAAAAAAAGAAATTCATTTGCTGATGCAAGCTTTGGGTCCTTGCAGAATTTCCCGTGCACAAACACTGCCATTACACCCCAAATGCAAAAATTTATTTATTTATTAATATTAATGAGACTACGTACATGATTAACACGAACAATATATATGAGCTTCTATTAAACAGGTGCCAAATTGTCATTACATGTGAAACGTACAGATAGTATTACTATTGTACGTACAAGGAACTAAATATGTATGTACCATGGTATAAAATATCGATGAGGTAGTCCAAAAATATGGAAATTTCGATGGAAATATCGGGATATTATCGATATCGATAAAAATTGAAAAAAAACCACGGAAATTGTAAGAAAAACTTGGAAATTTTTATTGAAATTTTGGAGAATGTTTATTTAGTCAATTATCTACTCTCTGTTGCCGTTGCCGTTGAATTGCCCCTGCTACTCTAGCTTCGTAATCGCTAATACTGGGTGCTTCGTTGCAATTCGTTTCTCTAAAACGTTTTGGGTATGTTCTCAAACCCTATCTACTCTAATCCTTCCCCTCAGCTCTCTGTTAGTCTCAATTTTATGTTCCTTTCTTAGATTTGTTTTTCCAATGTAATTCTGAGGGGATTTTAGGTAATGATTTGATGGAGGATCCTTAGTTAGGGTTTGAGGATGTGTAATCCATGTTCTGGATTTTAATTGCTTTTAACTTCAATTTCTGCGAGACTTCAATCAAGCTGCAGTAATGGTTTTATAGTTAAAATTGATTGTGAGTCTTGGCACCACAAAAATCAATCCCTCGTAATCAATTGAAATTAGGCTTATGGTACTTGACATTGAAACTGAAGTAGCATGAAAAATGGTCTCAAAATGGTTTAGAGCAATGAAATGGGCTTTAAGGTTTGATGCCCTCAAAGATGGTGTGCTTAATTGCAACTATGTGCTTGATAACAGAAGTTGCTCCATGTAACTTCTTATGCTTACAAGTGCCTTGTGATGGTGGATTCTTATTTAAAGTATGTTGTAGTTTGTGTTCTGGTTTGTGCTAAATGTAATATAATCTTTTTAAATGTTAGAGTTTGCATATGTGGGGTTATTGAACTTTGGGTTGGTTTCAGTGAAGGCCGTTTGGTCTAATACTGGGAATGCTCCTTTTCTAGTTTCTGAATTCATAATCAGTTTAAGCAGCTTTCCCTTTTTGCTAGGTTGTGATGACATGCCTATTCACATGTGAACAAAGGTAAGTTTGCAATTGACTTTTGAAATTATTTCCTTCAGCATATTGTGGCAAACCTCTACTTGCATTAGTACTTTGGATTTGTGTGTAAGGAATGTAGGTTCTGTAGATTCTAGGTTTATATGTTGCTTAGATTCTGGTTTAAGAAACGCTATGACCCTAGCTTGTCATACTGATTCTGTCATATGTGATATAGGTATTAATCTTCTATGTTGGGTGGTTTGTTACAGGTTCTTTGCTCTCAATTATGCTGCAGATGCTGCCTGCACCGTTCTACGGGTTGATCAGGTACTCTCGAGTCTCTCCTCTCTAACGGTTACAATTTTGTTGTGTACTGAGCTCATAACCTCAGCATGTTTGTGAAGGAATGAATTCGCTTGCAAAGACACATTCTCTGTAACCTTTGACTTCTATCATCTTCTCTCTCCTCTTCGAAGTTCTCTGATTGTTCCTCTGCATTTTCATCATCTATTTCATCCCCATTGTCACATTCTCTGTGTCCATGTTGTGGGAAAGTGTGGCCACTTAATATCTACACGGTTTAAGAAGTTTGTCTAATCATCTAAGCTAGCTTACTAATTGTGTGGAATATGTAAATATGTAATTTTATGACAAACTTAAACTATCTTATGTTCTATTGGAAGCTTAACTTTATTACCGTGTGAGAAGTCAACACTTACATGCTATGTAAAAATTGACGAATTCAATCCATTCTCCTTGAATTTCGACATATGACATTTTACAAGCCAAAGTGAAACTTCGTGCAAATTACAAATCACAATCTAGACAAAACTAAATGTAATTCATGTTTAAACAATATATGTAGTTCATAGTTGCTTTCAATTTCCCTTTAGTCTCGACGAGAAGGATTATAGAAGAAAACTTATATTTGATTGACATACAACAACTCGAGAAAATGACCATGAGATCCTTATTATTTCTTGAAGAGTCTAAACAAAAACTACTTATCGAGGGAGAGTTTTATTTCGAATGATATAATCTATGGTTTCTCGGAGTCCAAATTTAGTTACCGCCATGTTAGCCTCTCTAAATCCTTGTCCATAATTTTTGTCCACATTGGATTCTATTTTGTAGGTTGCATACTTTTGCAAGTTTTCCAAAAATACAGCATGCCCGTGCCTGGTGTTGTATGACTCCAAACCCTTCTTACAGCATGATGTCAACCATATGTGTGCCATCACTTCACAAATGCCTTCTGAAACTTTTTTTTCCAAATGGTTACAAGTTACAACCTGTTACAAATAAAATATTCATCAATTTGGAGATTTTTTTAGGGTAAATGTGGCACCACCACTTTGTTTTGCTTAAAATACATTGTCATATTTGGGTTAAAATCAACTTTTTTCTATAAATATTGGTGGACGATAACTTTGTTACTTTCTCAACGTAGAGAGTCTAGAGTTGTAACACAAATATTGTAATATTGCATGTCTGGAGTTATAATGCAAATATTGTTAGTCATTTAAATACATTTTACTTATCCATGCAAAAGAAAATTGGATTCTAACCTTGAAGAGCTAACCATGCATGCATCATCTCATGCGCCAAAGTTGCACCGATCATCACCCTGTACGTAATAAAATATAAAGTAAATAACAACTATTTTGAGAGGAAGGTTATATATAATAGGATAATGCCGAAGAGATTAAATATGTAAATCAAGTTTTGTAAACCAAATGACATGAAAGTTGATCATTGAATTATTATTAAGTGTTGATTAACGTATTTATTTTTTTATTGATGACATATTATTTGATTTATAAATTTAATATATCTAGCTTTTCTCATATAATTCCGAGAGATAGGTAAATGAAAGAGTACTCTGATCAGCCGAACAAAAGTAAAATTGATGACACTTTGCCCGATGCCAACTTCTTGATTTCTTTTTTCTGCACTTCAACATTATCACCTTTCCTTGAACATTTTGAAATCTGTTACAACCCAAAAGTAAGCGACATATACCTATAAACATACATATATACTTTTATTATAAAGGCAATGATATATAATGTATGTGTGTATGAAGTTTAAAGTTCGACATTAAAAAGTTAAAAAGCCTTGCATATATAGGTGTTATAAGAAATTAAGTTTTAGGTTCAACTGTTAATGGTAATTATATAGTAGTTGTAGTAGTAGTACAACTGATTTTACGAGTAGACTCTTACCGTCATGACAGTGTAAGGAGGGTGTGTGGTAACACCAACCACATTCAGCATCTGCACACATGCAAATATGGTATACATGGAACGAAATAAATTTGGTATACAACATTAAAAAACATATATACAAGATATGATTTTAGTTAAAGTTGGTTACCTGTTCATTTGGGTGAATTCTTCTCAGTTCATCGTCGTCGATCAATAAAATAGGAATTTTTTTATCCACTTGGAGGCCTAACTTTTTATAAAATTTGCGCACATTTTCAATAAGACGTTTGCATTTACTTGGATGCAAGATAGCAGTGGAAAAACATTCCGAGCAAAGCTGCTGGTTATTTCCAAGATTCACATATTCATTCTGCCCTGTTGTCTGACAAATTAATGAAACTTCCATCATCGGCCTCATTAGAAGTAATATTGTAGTTTTATAGTTGGGCTTATATATGTTTGCATTAATATGAACTTTCTCTGTACAAGTATTCTAATCTGATAAATTTTCATTTAATATATTTGCAAAAAAAAAGGGGAGAGAAAAAGGATCGAGTGTGATCTTGTTTGCATGAAGACTGAGAGCTCTGAACAACCGGCCATTCAAAGCAGTCCCCCTGCCTCTCACAGTTAGAATTTTGCTTTCTGAAGTTTCAAAAATGATAAAGAAGGATTGAGAACTAACTATTTAGTTAAATCTCAACCACTCACTTGTGAAGAGAAATTTGTGAAAGCCCCTGCCTAGAGCCGAGGATGGGAATAGTAAAGCAAATATATATTATAGCTAATAGAGAAGCTAGTTCCATTCAATTCCAAATAAATACTTTTCTATACTAACCTTGAATCTGTCACACGTATTACACCTTGGAGTTCCATCAGATTCATGTATCTTGTAATAATTAAAATTCCAAAATGGAATCATCCGCACATTGTTCTGTAAGAAAAACAAGTTGAAATAGCATAAAATTACAATAACAATATAAAAAAAATAAAATAAAATCCAAAAAATTCAAGCAAAATTAATAAATGAAAAAATGTAAAATTAGAATGGACTTGAAACAAAACATTGGAGATGATAAAGCACTTACAATAGTACCATATGTGTTGCAGACATTGCATAAAAAGTAATTTGGCATCCGATAACCAAGAAATAAGCCAGTATTTTCCATCAAGTTGAACTGTATCATGTAGCATGCATGGTTAGTTAGAAACAGAGGCTAAGAGCTACTAGCTACATAAGTGATGCTTTTTAATTAGTAGGAAATTATTTCTCACCAAATACTAATTAATGTAAGGAAATTAATGCCCTCAAAATATTTATACTGTTGCAGTCATATTTAGAATAAAAATGTGATTGTGTAAATCCTAATGTATCTAGGGATATTTTAGAATATTCTTCTTAGTAGGTATTATCATATTAAATTGTAATCCTATTAGGGTAAGGATTCAATCTATTCTACTATTATAAGTAAAGGCACAATGAGGTGATACAACACACATCTTACACTTAAATCTCTCTTCTCTCTTGCCGCCGACCTCTCTTCCTCTCTAATCCTAAATACAATTCAGTCAAATAGGCCTACAACATATACATATATGATTTTTTTTTTTTTTTTGCGTGTGATAGTAAGACAATCTAGGCCCTTTTGGGGCCCTGTGAAAATTTAATAAAAAGGTCCTACGTATTCAAAAATAATAATAATTTTTTTAACAACGTATTCATACAAAATTCAATCATCAATATTCAATTGAAATAAACATCTTACTCTTAATAATTGTATAAATTTTGATAGCCATGAATTTATGATAAAAGCTTCATACATTAAAAAAGGGGGCACGACTAAAGTAATACACTTGTGTTTGTAAAAAAAAGGTAATGCCCAGGTTGGTTTTTTATTTCTAGCGAAAAAAAAAAAGAGAAACACAGTTTTTTCTTACTGTTAGAGAAAAAGAAAAATTGAAATATTAAGTGTGTGTGTGCATTGGCTCTGCTTAATCAATTGTAATCTAGATAAGTAAAAAAATATATATATACTTATATTTAATTTGTAAGAGGATGAAATTTTTTAGTCTTCATAAATTTAGAGTATTAGCCCACCCTTTCTACAATATCTAGTTCAACCCTTGCTTTGACCCATAAATCATGCATATTATGTAATCTACTCTTAAATAAAGCACGAAACCAAAAAACATAATCATACAACTAAACCTATAAAAGTTACCTCAAACTGCAATTTTTTAGATCTTTGAGAGTTGATGTGGAGACCTGGCTCAACTAGAAGAATAGAGAGATTGAAATTTTGGAAGACGGAGAGGAAGGAAGAGAATTGACGAGGAAGGTTTGCTCAAGGCTTCATATATATGTGTGTTTTTGGTGGGGTTTTTTTTTGTTGGGGGGGGGGGGGGGGTTGGGTTTGTTTCCTGCTTTTAGGGTTTGTTACTCAAATTATTTGATTGCTTGAATAATTGGGTTTTTATGGCTTTGAACAAAAAAGAAAATGAAGCAGTTCGCGATTAGATTACTGGATTTGTGTGGTGTTTTTGCCGTTTAAATGCAAGCAATGTAAAAGGAAACAAACAAAAAAATTTCCTTTTTCAAATAAGGTCTATACCCTTCCTAATTTTTTTGTTGACCTCTTCTTAAAATTACAAAACGTTGATTAACTAAATGCTAATATTAAAAATATTCTGCGAGTTAAAACAAATTTCTCTGTGTTTTTTAGCAAAGTACATAATGTTTGAACTCTTTGTTAATAGTAGCCGATTTACTCATAAAAAGGGCCGAAAGTTGTATTTGGCACTATTCTAAAAATCTCCGCCTACCACCTCCTAGACGCTAGGCAGCTGGGCATTGCCTCGATTAATACCTAGACGTTTGAAAATTAAGAAAAGACCCCTAGACCTGCTGAGGTGCCCACCTAGACCGCCTATGCACCCATCTAGCCCGCCCATACCCACATAGACACTTGCCTAGGTTGCAACTCACTTAGATAGAAAATAGATAATTTTCCCTTTGCATTTTATTGTTTCCAATAAATTTTAAAAGATTTATTGAACACTTAAATAAACACACATTATATGTTTGCTCCCCATGTTTTCATTATGTTCTAATACTTCATAATATATATGTCATTCTATTTTCTATTTTATGATGAAATTATATATATTTTAAGTATAAACAAACACTTATTTACACAAAATACAATAGATTTACTTAAATTCACCTAAGCACCCGCCTAAGGCTCCACCGAGCAGCCTAGGAGCTAGGCCCCAGCCTACAGCCCGCAACCCGACTAGCGCCTAATGTCTTTTAGAACCTTGGTATTTGGTACCTTGTTTAATATTACGATAAGTAACACTAAAATAAGAGCTAATTAAAAAATAGGGAGCCTTAACGAAAAGCTCCTGGTACTATTCACTTTAACGAAAAATCATATTTTACTCTAAAAAATCAATCCTGCTACTATTCACTTACAATACTTTTTGTCATTTTCATTAGTCTTCCTTAAAAAATAAGCAAAATTAAGAAATTATTGATAAATATGTTGTCCACTTTTGACTTATAATTTCTGCCCATCGAATTGTCATAGTTTATCATAAACCCGAAAGTCAATGGCAAATAATAACAGACAAAATTCTACATCCATTTTTTTGAAAAGTGACAAATCTAATCACTATATGTGCGCTTCGTTAGTCAATTAGAAAGGGGACAAATCATATATATCAGCAAATAAGCAGAGAAGCGATGCAGGATTTAGGGCTGATTTGGTATTGCTGTGATTTGAATAAAAATTGCTTATGTTGTGTTGTGAGAATAAGCAGTTGTGAATTAAAGCAACAGAGTGTTTGGTAAACTTTTTTATAAAAGTGCTTTTGGAAAAAGAAAAAAACACTATTATAATTTTTGGTAAACTTTTATGTAAAATAGCTATGACTGTGTGAAATGACCAAAAAATGTATAATATTAGATGTGTCATTAATTTAATTTTCTTAAGTCTTCCCCCTTTATTTTCTCTATCTGCATCGAGAAGTCTCTCCCACTGCCCCACTACTGAACCAGACT